ATACATATTCCAAACTTTTCTGAAAAAAAAAATTTTAAACAAAGGCCAACCTAATGAACAAGAATAAAATGGATTCCTACCAAAGCACACGTTAAGAAATTTCAATATACTGAAAACCAAGAAAAGATCCTGAAAATTCCCCATAGTAATAAGGGAGGACCCACACAGGAGACAGAGTCAAAACATAGCAATGCACCTTGGTCATGTAGTAGGATATCTTTGTACTTTGGATGTGCAAATTTCAGTATTGAGGGAGGCAAGAACTAGCAACCACTTTCAAATGGCTTAGAAAAAAAAGTGAGTGTGTGCATGTGTGTGGGTGTGGGTGTGGGTGTGGGTGTGAGAAAGGGAGGGAGAGAGGAACAAAGCACAGTTAAATATGAATGCTAGAAGGAACACTGGCTGTAATGTGGAAAATACAGATTACAGAAGACAATGTAGGCAAGAGTTAAAGGGTATTAAAGTAGTGGTGATGAGAAGAGAGAAGAGATGGATTTGAGAGTATTTAAGAAGCAGAGTTGATTCCTTAAGTAAAATTTTATTTTTTACTTTAGTTATTCATCATCCATGTTTTCCACTCCGACTACATGTTACACTTAAAAGTTATGTCTGAGAGTTATCTTTGAATTTTCACCAAGTTCAGAGGTTGTCTTGCATCCTGTAGTTAATTACTATAACCAACATGCCACCTCTTCATCATATGTCTGTCTTGATTCATTTTGTGAATATTTTTAATACTGTACTGAAAATTGGTGGGGTCATCAGCAGCCCTGTGCACTCCTGCCTCATCTTTTCTCTGTGCACCTTATTCTTGCTAGATTGCCTGTTCTTTATATATCCTAGGACAGCTCACAGAGTGGTTTCCTCAGTAATTCACTGAGAAATCCTTTAAATCTAAAATCCTGAGGGCTTTCCATACAGCAAACATTCCCCCAGTGAACAGATACAACTAGTATGGATGATGTTAGGATGACATCACAGTGCTAGCAGCCATTACAAAATCTCAGCGGGCATGATGGCACAGGCCTGCAATCTGAGCACTCAGGGAGGCAGAGACAAGAGGACTGCAAGTTCAAGCCCAGTCTGGGCAACTCAGTAACTCAGCAAGACCTTGTCTCAAAATTAAACAAACACACAGTAAATGGCTGGGGATGTAGTTTAGTGTGAAGGCCTTCAGTTCAATCTCCAGTAAATAATAATAATAATAACAAAAAGTCTCAACAATGGCTTTTTCATTGGAATAGAAAATCTAGGAGAATAAATTAATGCCTTCTCTCTCCTTCTCTCTTCTACTGTACCTTCCACATGCAGTGTTTCAACTGCACTATTCATGACTTTTTTAGATAATCTATTTTGGTTAGGTATAACAATTTTCCTTTCGATATATAAACAATAGAATTAAAGAGTACTGGCCTGACTGGCACTGTGGTACTCTTGCCTAGCATGAGCATGGGCTGGATCCCCAGCATGGTAATGTAGCATAAGGTACTGTAGTTCTGGCCTAAAACGAATAATATTATGATGATATTATGAAAAATATTATGATGTCTTCTCAATAGATGGTGTTACCCTTGCATATGGGACATTAGAGGATGCTGTATATTGCAGAAAACCCACTACCTTGCCAGCCCTTAGAGAAGAAACTGAAAATTCACGTACAGCAATCTCAATTACAAAGGTTACCCAAGTAGCAGTTCGCCATACTAACAAATGCCTGGGCTAATGGTCACTACTTGGAGCATCTCTTATAATTGTAGACTCCAAAAGTAACTGGTATTAATCGATGTCTCAATCAATGTATTTATTTGGTAGCAGCAGTCGAACTCAACCTCAAGCTTGCCAGGTAGGCACTGTGCTGCTGAGCTATATCCCCAGTGTCTCAATAAATTTAATATGAGACTGGGTGTGGTGGCACGCGCCTGTTATCCCAGCGCTTGGGAGCCTGAAAACAGGAGGATCACTATAAATCCAACCTGTGTAGTGAGACCCTGTAGATCCTGTGTATAAATAAGTAAATAGATAAATAGATAAATAAATAAATCTAGTATGAAAATATTTATACAGGTTTTTCTTCTCCTGAAGGGTATACATTTTTTTTTTTGTGGGCTCTGAATATATGCCATTTATTGAATGCCTTTTCTCCAATGTGAATTTTTAACACCTTTGTTTAAAATCCATTGCCGGGGGCCGGGGAGATGGCTCAGTGGAATAAGCACTTCCCTGGCAAGCGCAAGGGCCTGAGTTCAATCCCTGGTTCAACCAAAATAAATAAATAAATAAATAAAATAAAATCCATTGCCTATAGACGCGGAGTTTTCTACAATTCTCTACTCTGTTCCACTGGTCTATGTATAGTATATGCCAATACCATGCTGAAATCAGGTAGTGTGATACCTCCTTGTTCTTTTTACTCAAGGTAGTTCTAGCTAGTCAGGGTTTTTTTTTTTTTAATGATTTTATATGAATTTTAGGTTTTTTTTTTAGTTTTGTGAAGAATATCATTGGTATTTTGATGGTGAATGTGTAGATTGTTTTGGGTGGTACAGACGTTAGTATGGAATAGAAGTGTTCTAAAATTGACAGTGTTGATGGTGGCACAACTAAATATACTGAAAGCTACTGAGTAGTACACTTTAAGTGGGTGAATTTTATGTCATATAGATTTTATATCAATTTTAAAAAACAAGGCCATGGCCCTAAGTGTGTCGGGGGGAAGGGAGGGCAGGATGCAGGAAGCTGCCGGCCTAGTGGTGCTTTTGGAAGTGGTATTTACTAACTTAGCTCCTGAGGACTAAGTTGACAGGAAATGAGGACAAACAAAACACCAGCTTTCTAGGGAAAAGAATGAGTCAGAAAAAATGTTTATCAATATTAACTTGCAAGTTACCAAACTGACAGCAGAAATGTTTAAAAATCCCTTTTTATAAATGGTGTTTTTTATGTGTAAATTTGGGGCATAAAGGAAACCTTTTAAAGCTACACATCTCCAGACACTAACAATGCTACTGAAAAACTATACCATATCTATTCTAGCCAACTACCCTGACTTCAGGTATTGTCTACAAGTCTCTGAGGGAAACATCTTCAAGAATGTGAGAAACGTATTTCTTCCTTAACACATATACAATCACTACATCTTGAAGAAATAATTTCTAGTATATGTAAACCAGAAAATGTAAAAGGCTAACTCTGTTAAACAGAATGCACACTGAATAAGCCTCTTGGGAAGAGAAAAAATTCTTATTGATCTCTTTACTCCAGCACAAAAGTAAGAGAAAAACATCCCTCTAGCCCAGTTCAAGCCATGAGGGGATGATCCAGATAAAAAGTCAAATGGTCTGAACAATATTTGCAAACATCAGTAATCCCAGACATACCTATGTTGAAACAGATTTGAGACAGGAGATGTTTTGGGGGGAGAAGAGAGCATAGTAAAGATAGAACAGAAAGACTTTTAAAAACCTTTGGTTGGACAAGAGACTTGGTAATACACACACTAGAATAATCCCAACACAAAGAAAAACTCCTAACTGTTGCTCCCATAATTAAGCTCTCAGAATTTTTCTTTTAAACAAAGCCTCTTAGAGTGAGACAAAAATGGTAACTTTTAGTGAGGGATTAAAAAGGAACCAAGAAAACCTGCCTGGATTGTAGGTTCTGTTCAGAATGACAAAAATGATAATGACAGAAAACACTTTCTTGGGATGAGCTGAGAACCAACACTTTTTTTCCCTCCCCACCTCATCCCTGAGTCTCAGGTCACTGGCCCAGGGTATCTGTTTTGGCAGAGAAGGATCTGATGTTCATATGTTCTTACAGACACCAAGACAATCTTCCTGACACCTGAGCAATGCTGTACTGCTTTAATAACCTAGTTAATGAGAGGACACCCCCCTCTAAAGCTGCAATGGAATAAGGCCAGAGAGAAGGAAATACGGCTACGCCTCTCTTTACATGGCTTTATACTCCTGGCTTATGTTGGCAACCTCAAAAGAAAGATCATATAAGTGTACATGGCATTTCCCACAGTTTGCTGAATAAAGATTTAATTATAGTCATTTTTAAGTAGGCACTATTGTAATTTTTCACTATGGCTAACTTAAACCCATACTTCTGGTCAGAAAGGGACATAAACAGACCAGCAAGGAGGGGATCTGTTCAGTCTTGATTACAGAAGTAAAGAATGGCTTCAAAGGATTACACTTGGGTTCCCTGGCTGCCTTAAATTTCTTTCAACTGGCAACACAGATGATCACTTCTCTCATCTATTTCTCCATCTATCTCCCTTCTCCCTCCTCCACACCTGTAAGGTGTGGCATGACAGGTGCTGAGTCTTCTTAAAGCTGTGTCACTGTGCTAGCTCTACAGATCGATCTTGCTAATATCAAGAAACTGAGTTACTAAAAAAGCTTAAAGTGGGATTTATTCACTTGTACATTTTACTAATGTTTACTGAATTAAACCTTCCCAGGAGCTATTTGCTCATATCTTAAAATTGTTACTTTAACCAGGACAGTTTCTTATTCCAGCACTGCATCCAATGCTGGGTATGAAGCCAGCCCTGAAAGGGGAGAGTTACCTACTGACAAGTAGGCTTCTTTCTTACTCCCCTGCTTTTCTCCCCTTCAAATCACAGGGCCAACAGCTATCAAATTCCTAGTCCACTGTTGGGACTTCACCCTATCCTAGCCATGAGGAAAGCACTCCCACTGCCTATTCTACCTCCTTATTCTAGGTTTAGTGGGCAAGATATACAGACCTGAAGCATCCTGGAGAAGGAAGGGGACAATTTGGGAGAAACCTTCAGAGCTACAGCATTTATCAGCTGAGGGAGCACTGAGGGTGGGGAATGTGGTTAAGGTCGTTAAGTGAATATTACATCTCCCAGCGAACTTGGACCATGGTTTCTGCCTACCTCTGAGATAAAAGTGAATAGGAATTATGGTCAGATTTCCCCAACTTACCCTCAAAGACACAGACATAATATGAGTCAAATTCCTTAGGAATTAACTGTTAAGTATGAAGAGCTACTCATTTTTCCCAGCCAGCTGGAGCATTTTGTTTTCTAGAGGTGGCTCCAGTAAGCCCTTGGAGGACAGACTTCAGGAACACAGAGTAAGAGTCTAAGATACTGGCAGGAGATGGCACTCTGCCCCTGGCAGTAGTCACACAGGGAGATTCATGAAATCACACGTGCGCCTGAGACTGACATAAGAACAACATCCCTGTGCTACTTACTACTCTGAGCGCATTTCAAGACACTGACTAGCTATCATTTTGGGATACTGACTGATCAGCAAAGAAGAAAGCAACTGTAAAATGAACAAGGGCTTGCTTTAGGTCTGGGGAAACACTCCTCTGGAGCCACTGAGCCCACAGTGAAACCCATGGTGCCTAACACCAAAAGCTCAGAGTAACTTCACGGCAGCAAAGAAGCACAGTGCTGTCCTCACTTCACCCTCCTGACCTTCTGACGGTTATTAATGGAGAGGCCTGTAATCTTTCCCATCTTCAACCTAATACTATTTCTTATATTATTAAAAAAAGTCTTGACAAGTCCTAGGCTAAACCATCTCTCTTTGCAACTTTGGAGCTGAAACTTTATGAATGGACCTCTTTTCCAACAAAGGTGTTAGTCTCAGCAGGTGTACTGCTCTGTAATATCTGTGCCTAATTGTCTATACACAGTCGCTTAGATACCAAGGTCTTCTGACAAGCATTTTCCATTGTATTTCATCATGGTATGTACAAAAGTCTCTTGGACTACTGCGTTAGCCTCCCCAAGTTTTGAAATAGCTTGCTTGCTTGCTCTCACTCTCTTTGTTTATTTTTTTGAGACACGGTTTCAATCTGCAGTTCAGCCTGACCTTGAACTCTTTGTAGCTCAGGCTGACCTCAAACTCGCATTGATCTTCTTTGTCTCAACCTCCCAAGTGCTGGGATTATAGGAGTGCGCCACCATTCTCGGCATGAAATACCTTTTTATGTCATAGCAGGCGTGCTTTTTTAAATTACGATTTGGAGAACCTATGCCACAAATCACTGGAATATTAATTTATGTGTTCTCTGCATAGTCTTATGACTTTTAAAGTTCTATCACTTTAGAAAATTAAGAAGTTGTTTTATTTTTATTTTTGTGTTTGAGACAGGGTCTCATTACATTGCACAGGCTGGCGTCAGACTTATGATGCTCCTATCTCTTGTTCTCCCAAGTAGCTGAGATTTACAGGTGTATACTTTTGCACCTAGCATAAAAACTTAGTTTCAAACTATCCATTCTTATGTAGTTTTAGCGTTTTTTTTTTTTTTTTGTTTTGTTTTGTTTTTTTGGCAGAACCAGGGATTGAACTCTGGCCCTTGCATGCTTGTCAGGGAAGCGCTTATTCCACTGAGCCATCTCCCCTACGTTTTAGCTTCTGAGAGGATAATGTTATATAATGTTCTTTTGGTGAATCAATCAAATAATATTTATCACATATTGCTATGATGGTTTAAAAATGAAAATATCCAAGCAGGAGTTCTAGAACTGACTGTCATTATTAATGCTCCCACCAGATGAGGGTGGTCTGAGATGTGCCACAGACCGTTTTGGGGTGTGAGGGTCACTCTTCTCCTGCACTACCTTCTATGAATACCATGTCTCTCTCTCCTGAAGGTGAATATCCTGGGGGGAGGGGTTTACAGAGTCATCTCTTTACAACAAAAGACTGTAAAATCCCTGCCTAGTTAATGCTACGTAAGGGTCTAGACCAGTGGTGGTGAACCTACAGCATGTGTGCAATTTGTTTCTCTTTTAAGACAAGAGACGGTAATGTATGAGTTATTTTTCTAAACTAAGACCTCAGCATCTAGGTTTAGTTACAGTTTTGGCATTTTGAGATAAGTAAGTGGGTTTTGGGTTACAGTTTGGGTACTTGTTTCTAAACTGTTCTTGCCACCACTAGTGTAGATGGAAAGAAAATGTTTATAAAGCGGTTAATCTGTTTTTGAGTGAATTATTTTTATTCATTGAGATACCTCTCTTCTTTCAGCCATCTGTACTCTAAGGCAGCAGTGTTCCTGTCTGAATTTCTTGCTGCCTTAGGTCTGGCTCTTTCCGGTGCTAAGCTCCCCTACATTACTGGCCATGGCTAGAGATGCTCTCCACTGCTACGGTCAATGCTAGTGTTTGTGCAAAATTTAAGCTAATTAAAAGACAAATGCCATTTCAAAGAAGTATTCCAAAACATCAAGATAATTATTAACACCAAAGGATTTTGTAAGATATTCCTTAAAGGAGGGAAGGGTTGTGGCCAAATCAACCAACCAAATAACAGAAAAGCATTAAAGCAAACCATCACTTACCAGAGTGAAACTTCTGGACCGAGAACTGCTGCTCCGGCTCTCCAAACTCCCTCCTCTGCTCAGGTCACTGAGTCTGCAGCTAGGTGACATGTCAGAGTCCATCTCCAAAGAGTTTGACTTGTGGAGGTTGACAGGCATCCCCACAGAAAGCTCAGGTGCTAGCTTTGTTCACAGGGGCAGGAGCCAGTGTCCCATCCTACAGCAGAAGAGGACTTCTGGAGAAATCAAGCATGGGATGGTAACAGTTAGTGAGCCTGGCCAGTACAATGCTGTGTTGGTCAGCTTTCTACTACTGGGATGAAACACCTGACACCTGTGATTTAAGAGGAGAGGTGTTTCTTTGGTTCATAGTGTCAGAGGTCTCAGCTTGTGAGCCCCTGGCTCCAAGGCAGAAACATCATGGCAGGAGAGGGAGGAAAGCTGCTCGCCTCTTAGCAGCTGGAAAGCAAGGGCACGCAGGAAAGCCAGGGGCAGGGGCTGGGGGCCTGTGCTAGTCTCCAGGGCTGGGCCTCCAACTTGGCCCCTCATAGCCAAGTGAGTTAGCTTGCCGGTCTATACAGTCTTTAAGTCCAAGTTAATGATCAAGATTAAACAGTTCAAATGCCTTATTCACTGAAAACAGTACCGCATCTGCATTAACAGACGCAACCGTTGCAGCCAGGGTAATCAGGAAACAGGAGGACGACTTCTTTTGGGGTGCTGGTTTCTGTGTCTCCTTCCTATTCTCACCGCTTGTGAAGATGTGAGAATAATTTTTAAGGAAACATGTACTGAAACGTACTGTGGTGCTAAAAGGATGTTCAGCATCACTGAGCAGAATGAAGCTGTGCGCTGTCATGCTTGCTCACACTCATACTCGGACCTTTCCTGCTCTTTTGTTTTTTGGTACCAGGTATCAAACTCAGGACCCTGCATTTGTCAGGAAGGTATGCTGCTGTTTTTATTTTTTATTTTATTTTTGCTTCAGTACCACAAAACTGGCTCCTTCTCCAGCTCACCGCAACTCACAGTTAAGGTAAAGTGACAAAAACTAACAAGTTATCAATGGAGGTTTGGCTGACGTCTTTATGCTTGAAGACTCTTTGGCAACCTGATGCTATTGCAACTTCCACATGAAAAGTAAAGCACCCTAAGTTAATAGTTATCAGGAAGTTCATGTCTGTTTTACTTCCAAGATGAAAGACATCAAAAGTGTTCCTTTAAGCTCCTTAGATTCATACTGTTCTCTGACCCCTTTATAGTTGGAAATTCAGCTCAGCTCCTGAACAACAACTGAGTTTAGGAGAACATTCTAGAACACCAAAGAAGATAACTATCTCCTGTTGATTAAATTAAGAGCTGCATGATCATTTGTGATCTAATCAATATTAAATACTTTTAGCAGAACTCATCATTAAGACTTCAAAAATTATCAAGAAAACTTTCTTAGAAAAACTCCACAGACATCTCTCTTAAAACAAATTTTATTTTACTTATTTTTTTGGAGACCAGGTCTTGCTATGTAGTGTAGGCCTGGAACTCACTTATGTAGCTCAGGCTAGCTTCAAACTCCTGGTGATCCTCCTGTCTCAGCCTCTTGAATGCTGGGATTATTGGTGTGTTCCACTACACCAGGTTTAAAAACAGATTTTTTTTTAAGTATTCCTCACTCCATTTCCTTTTATTTTCCAGGAGAATCAATAAAAGCTAAATGGTAAATTACGAGCAAGATTATGGAATCAGAAGATTCTGACACTATATACTTTATGTAAGTATATATTATATATTGCCATTATTTCAAATAGTAAAAAAAAGACTTAAAATATTAATTAGTTGCCTAAAATGAATCTAGTATAAACACTCATTGGGGCCATACCCAGTACTGGCTAGACCAATGCCTAGAAAAAGTAGATAGAGACACCACAGCTATGTCTCTGGGCCCCAGAAGAGGCACAGTAAGGTGGGACAGGCAACATGGAAAAGACAGGCTAATTCTTAAACTCTTCCTGATTTGCCAAATCCTTCCAACTAACTCAGCATTAACAGTATATCACTTCCCAGAAAGAAGACAGCTATGGGACAATGAAGTCTTGCCCCACCCCTACACCAGCTAGCAAGATGGGCCATGGGAAGTGCTGATTTACCTGCACAGCTGAGAAGCTGGGGACCCTGCAGTCTGTGGGGACCTTCAGAGTTGTGTTTCACGCTGGGCAGTGAAAGAAGCCACTAGCAGCCCTCAGAGCGTGACCAGATGGTGTCAATCTTTTGAGAGTGCGCCTTTTTCCTGTGTTGTTATAACTTCAAGAGTTGTAAAACTGTAATATTTAGACTGCTGTATACAATTCTTTTGAAACAATATAAAGAAGCTAATAAGGACCCTGCAGAAAGTAGGGGTGGTGGGACAGAACGTAAAAACCCTGGGTCCACATCCTTTACAATCTTAAGATGTGAATCTGATCTCTCAAAGGTTGGAGACTTTGTAGATGTAGGAAACTGAAAATACAGAATTACACAGTGGTCCACTGTCTGGCACAATTTTCTGAAGGGTAGGGCAAGAAGGCAAGCTTCTTTGAGATCAGGACACATGTGACACAGAGCTTGGCAGCTTCTTCTTTTTTTTTTTTTTTTTTTTGAGGAACCGGGAATTGAACTCAGGCCCTTGAGCTTGCCAGGGAAGCACTTATTCCACTGAGCCATCTCCCCAGCCCCAAGCTTGGTAGCTTCTATGCACTTATGAGGGCCATTAGCACTTTAAAATACTCTCTTTCTCTAATCAAGGGTTCCCTCTGTTTTCAAAAGGTGCACACTGTGAAAAATGAGACTGGGGCAAACCTCGACAGTCACGTGAACCAGGAAACACTGCTACCAAGGAGAAGAGTAAGATGGACTAAGAAATCACAAGTTTCTACTGTACAAACAGGAATGTGAGGCATGTATGTTAATGTTTTAAAAATTCTTTTACAGTTCCTGTGTTTATTTCACATTATTTCCCACAACCATTCTTTTTTGGGGTAAAGTCTAGTTTACTGTTTGAACAAAGAGAACAAAGTCACAGGATATCCCAGTCTTTGTGAACCTGCATCTTCCCAGCATGTCTAATTAGGAGGACAGTATTCACAGGACAGGAAGGTCCCAGAAGACCTGGTAGGCTGTGGAACTGAAGCAAATGGACACTCTTGATGAAAGATGAAAGTTTAGATCACCTACAAAATACTACGCTTTGCCCACTCTGAAGTGAGTGGGCAGGAGCCACAAGAGAACAGCAACTCCTTTCTTCATCTTCCCCTGGACTATCCAGAAGAACACAGTATGACCTACAAGGCATGCATAAAGCCCTCCTATCATCAGCAACACTAGCTCAATACCAATTCACCAGGCATACAGAACAGCCTGAGTAACTACTGTACTGAGATCTTTGAGTTGCTGAATCCCAGAGCTGATCTATGCTAGACAAGGGCCCATCACCATGCCTAGGGACTTGTGGTCTTATCACGCAGAGCTTTGGAGACATCAAGGACTCTACCCCCTTCCCACCACTCCCATTCACCCAGCTGCTAGCCCTCAGATTTGCCCTTTACAAAGTCAGTTGTATCAACCTCCTTTGGGCCTCACTCTGCAGGGTAGGACCACTGTCGCTCCCACCTACACTGCTGCCATAACCATCTATCTGTTCTCCTAGCTATATCTCATATATTTCATATTTCATCCTTTATACTTTCACTGTATTATTCTGCTGAGTTGATCTCAAAAAATACTTTCTTAACAGCAGCCATCTTTAATCCACTCCCAGGAAGCTTCAGAACTAAAATCTTATTATGCTGATCAGTTCTCATTTCAATCTGAACAGTCCCTTCCTTTCTAGCCTAAGCATGCTGTTTGGTGCTTACTATTTTCCTACTTCACACTGAGCATAGTCTAGTACTAGAGATGGACAGGAGTTCATGGGAGAACTCTTCATCATCCAGGCAATGTGTGTCAGCAGCTCTTTGGGATTCAGACCTAGACTTATCAAGTACACGTATGGGTCAAAGCCTTAGCCATATGTATTTAGAAAGTTAATGCCATATCTCCTCGACTCTAATAGAAGACAGATGTGTAACTAAGTTCAGTGCCACTACAAGAAAAATGGGAGCACAGAGCAGAGAGTGCAGACACTTTCTGGAAGGTGAGGAAACCTAAGCCAAGCCTGGGAGATGGTTAAGATCTAGGGAGACCACTCATTAAATTCTGGTGGGCAGCTCAGAGAGGAGAACATAAGCCAAGATACATCCATAGCTTATTAGAATAATGGTGACTTCTGAGAGGGGAAAGCACTGACCTTGGCCAAAGCACAAGGTACAAATGAGTGGAAGCAGATGGAGAGAAGTACCAAAGGACACAACCTTGAACTTGACCCAGAGGTGACAGGCAGCCAAGGAGTGTTTATGCTCAAGGAATGATGTGGTAACACATACAGTTAGGAAGTTTAAAAATATTCAGAACAAATGATAATAGAAATGCTACACATCGTAGACTGGTGCAACCGTTATGGAAATCAGTATGGAGACTCCTTAGAAAAGTTGGTCTGGAAATCCCCTTTAAACCAGCTA